GTTGTTTGCCGTTGGGGTACGGGGAATGAGCCTGGTAATGTGGGGGCAGGATTAACCTTGGCTGTGAACACTGGCCACTGCAATGACAGTCGATAGGCGCAGAAAATCGCCTGCTTGCGAGTGCGCAGCTCGTTTTATCCGTTACACAAGAGGACAAGCCTTGTCCTTAGGTAATTGAAGTATAAATTTTGTGCCCGACAGCCGAAGGGGACTTTTTTTTCTCGAAGATGACGTAACGCGAAAGGCGATTCTGCTTGTGATTGTGCAGGTTTTTCACAAGAGGCCCATTTCTTTACTTGCCAAAGGGCCAGCCAATCCAACATGAGTTGGGCGGCCGCCAATGGCTTTCTGCGGAAATGCCTGACGGCGAAAGTCGCTGTATTGCGTCCCAAATGTGCTGCTTTAATACTATGGATGCCATCGCAAATAAAAGGTCGCCGAGTGGATGCAGCCGTCCGACTCTCATGTCTGCATGGACGGAACTAATCGTGCGCATGCTTGGCTGAGCTCCCATCAGTCGGACACGAACACAACATGCAGACGAGCCAGTTACACACAGTCCATGCGGAACAGCTTTCTTTCGCCGTGACTGGTGGGTCTGGCGAGTCCGCATTCAGGGTTCTTCAGCGCATGGCCGATCATGTTAAGAAGTCATTCGCCGATTTTAATGAGATCCAACCACCACAGGTCCAGTACGAACATAGCGTTGCTCAGATCGATAGCATATTGCAACAATGCTTCAAGCGCCTCCGCGAGCAGCGACCAGAAGACGCTGGTAGCATCGAAAACGAGATTATTCGGTACGCGGGTGAACGGAAATCGCTGGAGATAAACGGCCTCAGCAACGCGGAGGACGCATGCAAGGATCAGGTCGTGACTGTTTTCCAAGCGTTGTCGGATCGGCTCGTGGCTACACTACACCCATCATTTTTTCAGCAATCTCTTCAAAAATTTACCGCAAGGACCCTGGAACCGTGCTTGCTCGATGACTCGGAGCAAGCTACAGCGCAGGTGGTGCCGCAGAGCGCCAACGACAGTACCTGCCGCGAGGTAAAACAGCATTTGCACTAGATTATCCAAGGCGACGCAGCTGACACAGAACTTCAGATCAACCACCCTGCAGTCTCCAATAGTAGCCAGAACGGCATACTGCACGATGCAGACAAGGCTGTCTCCCGAAAACGTGAATGGTACGAGCGGGAGGAACAGGCAGAGCCGAAAAAAAAGAGTATGAGATCGACCACCACCATTTCTCCATGTAAACAGCATTCGGATGACGAGCAAGAGAGCTCCGCTGTTGCACGCTCCGACGGAGTTGCCGAGTCTATTATCT